GCCATCTTCCCCCAGAGGTAGACCCAGTGTCCCAGGAATCTAAAGCCCTCCATCTTGCACCACCTTTCCAGCTATACGTTCATCTGCCTTATGTTCCTAGTTCTGAACTCACTTATAAGTGGTACTGGGAGTAATCTGGAGATTACTACTTCACAGGTCCTGCTTGCTCATTTTCTAAATTCCAATTGCAGGATCATCTCGCCCTTCCTACCTATTCATTTAGTACCAATGTATGTTAGTACTATGACTTCTGGCTTTTCACCTCCCCACCCTCCCCCCCCACCCCACCCTTCCACAGAAGAATGTCTTGCAGCTGCTCCATGACATCCCTAACTCTATCACCAGGAAGGCAACAAACCATTCCAGAGTCACAGTGACAGCCCCAGAATTGCCCATCTATTCTAGAAACTAAAGGATCTCGTAATAGTGCTATTCTTCTTCCTCCCCTCCAGTACAGCTTGGCTTTTGTTGCTTTCCTCCAAGGATCCATTGGCCCCACCATTATCAAGAATGGAAAACCAAACTGGTAAATAGGATCTCTGGACACACTCCTGCATTACCTGCCGGTTTCTCATGGACTGCCTGATGGAAAGGTAAAGGTTCCTTGCTGTATGACTGTCTGAGCAGTTAAAGATTTATTTTTATTTCAAAACTAATATTACTTACTTGACAATGAAACTCAACACAAGCTTGAGGAACAGCACCTCATCTTCCACTGAGATCACCAACTTCAGGCAACAATAGAGGGTGATGATTCTATTCTCCTGTTTACACCTCCTCCTGACCTTTTTCAATACAATTTTCAAGTCCCAATGCTACTCCTTTCTCCTTTGCTCTGTCCTTTTCAGAAAAAATGAAATCACTCCTGCCTGTGACTCGTCACAGGCCTCCCCATTTATTCTATCCTTCCCTCCCCCCATTTTCTGCTTTCAGCCTCTTTACATCATTTCCTGTACTACTGAATGATCGCTGATCCAAAACATGATCTGTTTCTCACTCAGGTGATCCTGGACACTTCCACTGTTTTCGTTTTAGATTTAGGGCAGAGTCAGCATGGCTTCATTAACTGGCGGTCATGTCTGACAAATCTGTTAGAATTCTTTTGAAGAGGTAACAAGCAAGTTAGACACAGGAGATCCAGTGGACATGATCTATTTGGATTTCCAGAAAGGCTTTGACAAAGCGCCATACAGAAGGCTGCTAAATAAGACAAGAGCCCATGGTGTTAGGGACAAGGTACTCAGATGGACAGTGGATTGGTTGACTGGCAGAAAGCACAATGGGGATAAAGGAGTCTTTTACAAGATGGCACCTGGTGACTAGTTCCACAGGCGTCAGTGTCGGGACCACAATTATTCACGTTATACATTAACAATCTGGATGCAGGAACTGAGGGCATTGTTGCTAAGTTTGCAGATGTCACAAAGGTAGGTAGAGGAACAAGTAATGTCAAAGAAACAGGGAGGCTGCAGAAGGATTTGGACAGGCTATGCCTGTGGACAAAGAAAGGATAGATTGAATACAATGTGGGAGACTGAGATTATACAGTTTGGTAGGAAGAATAGAGGTGAAGTCTATTTTCTAGATGGGAAAGGCTTTGGAAATCAGAAGCACAAAGGGACTTGGGAGACCTAGTACAAGATCCTCTTAAGGGTAACATCCAAGTTCAGTTGGCAGTTAGGAAGGCAAATGCAATGTTGGCATTCATTTCAAGAAGTCTAGAATACAAAAGCAGAAATGTAGTGCTGAGGCTGTGTAAGGCTGTGGTCAGACAGCATTTGGAATATTGTGTGAGCGGTTTTGGGCCCCGCATTGAAGAAAAGATGTGCTGCAGTTAGAGGGGGTCCAGAGGCAATTTACAAGAATGATCCCAGGGCTGAACGGTTTGTCATATGAGGAGCAGTTGAACATGTGGGTCTGTACTTGAAGAAATTTAGAAGAATGGGGTGAGTGATCTCATTGAAACTTACAGAATACCAAAGAAGCTTGGATAGAATGTATGGGGTGAAGATGTTTCTATTAGTAGGGGAGATTAGGACCTGGGGACACAGCCTCAGACTGAAGGGATGACCCTTTAGAACTGAGATGAGGAGGAATTTCTTCCATCTGAAGGTGGTTTATCTGTGGAACTCATTGCCGCAGAGGGCTGTAGAGGCCAAGTCATTGAGTGTATTTAAGACAGAGACGTTCTTGATTTGTAAGGGGTTCAGGGATTACGGGGAGAAGGTAGGAGAATGGGGTTGAGAAACATCAGCCATGGTCGAAAGATGGAGCAGACTCAATGGGCTGAATGGCCTAATTCTGCTCCCAAATCTTATGGTCTTATTTCCAATATCCACAATAATTTGCTTTATTAAGACGAAAAGCCAACAGATGTTTTAAAATGCATTTAATAACATCCTATAAACTCTGTGAACAAGTAATCATTGAAGTTATAAACATGTCTAGTGATCCCAGCATTGGGCTGAGCTTTCTAGAGGGATGAAAGATTTGTCTACACAAAGTTAATGAGTAATCTCTCCAGTTCTGAATCAACTTTTACTATTTACTATTACAGATGCTGCCAGACTAGCTGAGTTTCCTCTGGCATCATGGAATCCCTACAGTGTGGAATCAAGCCCTTCAGCCCAACAAGTCCACACTGGACCTTAGAGCATCCCACCCAGACCCATCCCCCTATAATCCACCTATCTCTGGACTCTATGGGCAATTTAGCATGGCCGATCCACCTAGCCTGCACATCTTTGGACTGTGGGAGGAAACTGGAGCACCCAGACACGGGGAGAATGTGTAAACTCCACACAAACAGTCACCCAAGGGTGGAATTGAACCCAGATCCCTGGTGCTGTGAGGCAGCAGTGCTAACCACTGAGCCACCATGCCACCCATGTTATCTGTATTTGTTTGGGATTTCCAGCATTTGCAGTATTTTGAATTTTATGTAATCTTGTACAAGGCATCCTCCTGTGTCTGCTCGTATAATTTATATCTGTTTTATTCTGATTTTAGAATTGTCAAAAAATGGCAGAAATTTATCCTGCATATTCTGTAGCCATAACCAGTCACTGATAGTGCCTAAGTGAAGGCCAGTCACAGTTCTATGGTCTGTCAATAACCTAAAAAATATCAGCAGGACTCAGTCACTCAAGACTGCTGCATCATTCAATGTGGCTGATCTGCCCTAGGGCCACCTCCACATGTGCCAGCTCCCCCACCCCTATTCTTTAATTCCTTTTACAGCGATAGGGACACAGTTGGGTGGACAGCTGATTTGCAATGCAGTGTGATGCCAACAGCATGGGTTTAATTCCCACATCGAATGAGGTTAAAACTCATGAAGGAGTCTCCTTCTCAATCTCTTCCCTTGCCTAAAGCACAGTGACGCTCGGTAAACTTCTAGCAATCTCTCGCATTAAAGACTATGGTTACTTAACTTTTAACTTTCAGGATTTAAGCCTCCACAAATCCCTAAAGGTATTTCGTAGAATCACAAAATCCTTACAGTGCAGGTAGAGGGCATTCGGCCATCGAGTCTGTGCCGATCTTCTGAAAAGCATCACACCCAGAACCACAGCCCCACCCTATCCTCACATTTACCATGGCTAACCCACCTAACCTGCACATCCCTTGACACTATGGGGCAATTTTTTAACATGGCGAATCCACCTAATATGCCCATCTTTGGACATAATTTGAAGAGGAGATTTTTTTTTCTCTCTCTCTCTTTGCTGTTCTCAAGCTCGACAATACCTTCTCCCGGCTTATTTTTGTGTGCGTAGCAATAGTTGTTTATTTTATGTTAGCTTCTTCTGTTTACCGCTGGTATATGCAGCCAGGAATCTCTTCAGAGCCACCCCGCTTCCTTAACTAAACTTTAATCGCCAAGTGAAGGCGCGGTTTCAAAAGTACTGCTAGAATTGAGCTTAGAAATTCCTTTCTTTAATCCTAAAGTTTGATAATGAACAGTTCGTTTTTCTTTAACCCCTGCCTTAGGGAGGCGCTTCAATTGTGCAAATATTTAAATTGTATTCTTTCGAAAATCGCCGTGTCTCAAACACCATTCAAACACCTCTGGCTTCTCCCACCTTTCTCCAGGGATCTGGAACACTGTACCCCTTGGTGGGGGGGAATTTCTGGATTTGTTGAGTAATTTAGGGCAGAATTGCTCCGATTTGCAGACTTCTACATTTGGACGTACAGAGGAAATCCAGGTGTTTTTTTCTCTCGGTGCAGTCCAGCCCAGAAACCCTGCCTCAGTCACACACACACCTCAAATTCTCACCCTGAACGCTGGGCTGCCCTGCCTGTGGGAACTGCTCATTGTAGGGGGAACAGTGCTCCGGCCTGAGGACAGCAGCAACACAGACACCGCATGAGTAAAACAGCGCCTGTGGATTGATTTGGGTAATGGGTATCGCACCTTTGGTGAGTGCGGAGACCGCACTAAGTAGCTGCCCGCGGGGCTGCGGACTCGCCGTGTCAGGGATCCAGCGGGCAACTTAGTCCTTCAGTAAATGGGGAGCCTTCGGCAAACAACTTGCGCATTCATGGAATATGAAAAAATCCTTGATTTGATTTATTATTGTCACATGTACCTAGGTACAGTGTAAAGTTTTGTTGTGCCTGCAGTACAAGCAGATCACAGCGTACAAAGTGCATAAGGTTAATAGAACAGAGCGAAGAATACAATGTTACTGCTGCAGGGAAGCTGCACAGAGAGAGAAATCAACGTTAAATTTAAAATTTGAGAGATTCATTCAAATCCTGTGCTGAATCATGGTTAATTTCAGAAACCATAATATCTAATCAGTGAGTAGCCTCTGTAAGGACTCATTTAGGGGTAGCTTCACCTTACTGTGGCTATTCATCTAGTCGTCTCCACCTGCAGCTCTTTCTGCTAAACATCCCACATGTTCACCAGCATTATTTAGTTTATTCTGGAATATTTAACTTTACCTCTTTCAATTCAATCAAGCCATCAGATTATTAAAGCATCTTACCCAAAATTTGATTATCCTTCAGCATTGGAAAGCTGTTTTCTCTCACCCAGTAACTCACTTCCTGATTTCTTCAAAGCTGGTGTTGCAGTGACAGCTCTTTATATCATTTGACAAGTCACACTGTCAAGCCTCCTTCAGCACCTCCCAAATCTGCAATCAGTTATCATTTGGAAACATAAACCCTTGTTTTTGTTTAGGAAAGACAACTGCCATCATTATCTGGTCTGTCCTACATGTGGCACCAGACCCCCATAACAATAGCACTGGCTCTGAATTGGCTTGGCAAACCCAGCAATTTGCTGCACCAAACCATTAAACAGTCTAAAAAGAAAAGTGATAAACCAGCTAGTGTTAACCTAGGCACTGGAAACAGCAAACGTAACTGTCAACCCTTCAGAATCATCCTTACCAAAATCTGTTTGCTAAAGGCAAAATTGGGAGAGCTGTCTCACAGACTAGTTAAGCGATAACAACATAGTCGTACTCGTGAAATCATACCTTTATGCGCAATGGCCATCACCGTCCATGGATATATCCTGAACCACCAGAATTGTCCCAACAGAGATGGTAGCACAGTGGTGTACAGTCAGAAAAAAGTTGCCCTGGGAGTCCTCGACATTGACTCTGACCCCAAGAAGACTCACAGGCATCATGTCTTACATGGGTAAAGAAAGTTCCTGCAGATTACCACATGCTGCAACCAGCTTCCTGCACCCCTGCCCTTCCAATTGAGGCAAAGACTCCACAAATATCCCTATCAATTTTAAGGTACCTCCACACAAAAGATAAAGCTGAAGCATTTTTAACAACCGTTAACCAGAGGTGTTGAGGGATGAATCAGAGGTCTTCAGCAACGCAAATACCAATTTGATTCACTCCACATGGTATCAAGAAATGACTGGAGGCATTAGATGCTTCAAAGACAGGGGTGCTGGCAACTTTCTGGAAATAGTACTGAAGAACTGTGCTTCAGAACTTGCTGTGCGTCCTAGTCAAGCTCTTCCAGTACAGCTATAACATTGGTATCAATGCAACAGTGTGGAAAATTGTGCAAGTATGTTCTCTTCACAAAGCAGGACAAATCCAATCCATCCAATTATTACCCTATCATCTATTCTCGATCATCAGTAAAGTGATGAAAGGGGTCATGAACAATAGTGTTATCAAGCAGCAACAAAAACAAAGTTGCTGGAAAAGCTCAGCAGGTCTGGCGGCATCTGTGAAGGAGAAAACAGAGTTAACGTTTCAGGTCTGGTGACGCTTCCTCAGAACTGATGGTGGCTGGAAAAACGTCAGTTTATATGCAGAAAATAGGGAGGTGGGTGGGGTAGGGAGTAAACAATAGGATAGAGTCCAAAGAGAGAGGAAGATAGTTGGACACAAAGGAGTTGCTAACAATCAGACTGGGAGGGTGAGTAGTTGTTAATGGGGACTGTTAGTGACTAACAACAGGGAGTGTGTAATGGCAGGCTATGTGGTAACAAGGCCTGGTGCGTGGTGTGTGGGCTGGGACATGGGAGAGTTTAGGCCCTAAAATATTGAATCTGGAGGGCTGTAGGGTCCCCAAGCGGAAAATGAAGTGTTATTCCTCCAGCTTGCGTTGGGCTTCACTGGAACACTGCAGTAAGCCAGAGGCAGAGATGTTGGCCAGGGAGCAGGGTGGTGCATTGAAGTGGCAGGCAACAGGTAGGTAGTTCAGGGTCTTTTTTGCGAGCAGAACGTAGATGTTCTGTGAAGCTGTCACCAAGTCTACACTTTGTTTCCCCAATGTAGAGGAGACAACAGAGTAGCGAATGCAGTAGATTAGATTCTGGGAAGTGCTGGAAGGTATGTTTGGGCCCTTGGATACTGGGTAGGGAGGAGGTAAATGGGCAGGTGTTGCACCTTTGCCGGTTACAGGGAAAGGTGCCGTAGGGCTGTGGGGAGGTGTTGGGGGTGAAGGAAGTGTGGACCAGGGTGTCCTGGAGGGAACGGTCCCTGCGGAAGGTGGACAAGGGAGCGGAGGGGAATATGTGTCTGGTGGTGACATCTTGCTGGAGGTGGCAGAAATGGCTTCTGGATGTGGATGCTAGTGGGATGGTAGATCCAGAAGATCATCAGATGCCATTTGCGCCACCTCCAGCAAGATGCCACCACCAGACACATATTCCCCACCCCTCGCTTGTCTGCCTTCCGCAGGGACCGTTCCCTCCAGGACACCCTGGTCCACATTTCCTTCAACCCCAACACCTCCCCACAGCCCTACGGCACCTTCCCCGGTAATTGGCAAAGGTGCAACACCTGCCCATTTACCTCTTCCCTCCCCAGTATCCAAGGGCCCAAACATATCTTCCAGGTGAAGCAACACTTCACCTGCACCTCCCAGAATCTAATCTACTGCATTCGTTGCTCACAGCGTGGTCTCCTCTACTTTGGGGAAACAAAGCATAGACTTGGCGACCGCATCACAGAACATCTACGTTCTGCTGGCAAAGAAGACCCTATACTACCTGTTGCCTGCCACTTCAATGCATCACCTTGCTCCCTGGTCAACATCTCTGTCTCTGGCTTGCTGCAGTGTTCCAGTGAAGCCCAACGCAAGCCGGAGGAGCAACACCTCATTTTCTGCTTGGGGACCCTACAGCCCTCCAGACTCAATATTCAGTTCAATAATTTTAGGGCCTAAACTCTCCCATGTCCCAGCCCCCCACCCCACACACCAGGCCCTGTTGCCACATAGCCTGCCATTACACATCGCCTGTTGTTAGTCACTAACAGTTCCCATTAACAACTACTCACCCTCCCAGCCTGATCATAAGCAACTCCTTTGTCTGTCCAACTGTCTTTCTCTCTCTTTGGGCTCCTATTGTTTACTCGCTACCCCACCCACCTCCCTATTTTCTGCATATAAACTGACGTTTTCCAGCCACCATCAGTTCTGAGGAAGGGTCACCAGACCCGAAATGTTAACTCTGTTTCCTCCTTCGTAGATGCTGCCAGACCTGCTGAGATTTTCCAGCAACTTTGTTTTTGTTCGTGATTTACAGCGTCCACAGTTCTCTTGGTTTTTATTTGCTATCAGGCAGCACCTGTTCAGCAATAACCTATTCACCCAGTTTGGGTTCTGCCAGGGCCACTCAGCTCTTGACCTCATTGCAGCCTTGGTTCAAATATGAAGAAAAGGGCAGAATTCCAGAGATTGAATAAACAACTGACCAACAAAACAGTGCTGCCAACAATGAGCCATAGAAAAACTAGAGTCAACAGGAATCAGAGACAAAACTCTTCACTTTTCCCATGCACTTTTTGAGTCAAATGGAGCTCATGTATGGTCAATCTGCCAGAACCACACTCAATAATGCAAGAAAGACAAATTAGATATTTTTCAAACGTTACTTCATTCTTAGATATTCTCAAATTTTCATACAAATAAACCTATTTCACTTGCATTCATGTTAAGATTCCCTTTTGTTCCTCTCCTAAAAACCAGCAAATCCAAAATCCAGCATAGTGTTAGTCTCAGGCTTGCCCATTTTGAAAACTACCTGTACCAATTCCACCAATGATTTACACAGGATGTGATCTGATTTGATTATGTAAGTGTTCCATTAACATATAATCTTTGACTACATTATCAGCAGTTCTATTGAAATGTACCAGAATTTGTGGATTATTGTCACATTTGAACTGTTATGTAATATCCTTCACTGACAAGCTTTTCGTGGCTCAAAGTATATCTTTGGGAAATAAATTCACCCTTTATCCCTGCTTTGTAGCTCGGGTTGTGGGTGAGGTTGTTGACTTGCTCGCTGAGTGGCTCGTTTTTGTTCAGACGTTTCATCACCATGCTGGATGATGTCATCAGTGAGGTCTCCAATGAAGTGATGTTGCTCTATTCCACTTGGAATTTATACTGTCTGGTCTGTTATAGTGAGTAATGTCATTTCCAGTTTTGATCCGTATGAGTTTGTATATTGGGCCCAATTCTATATGCTTGTTGATTGCATTACGGTTGGAGAACCATACCTCTAGGAATTCCCATGACTTGGGCTACTATGGACCCCATATACAAACCCATACAGATCAAAACCGGAAATGATACTACTCACCATAATGGGCCGGTCAGTATAAATTCCAAGCAGAGTAGAAAAACATTGCTTATCAGAGGCCTCACTGATGATGCCACCTAGCTTGGGACAAAATGTCTGAATGAAAACAAGCCAGCTCAGCAAGCAAGTCAACAACTTTCATTCCTGATTTATCTGGTGTACCATCACTGTCTATATCACTGAAATAGTCAAATTGCCACTCTCAATATTCTTAAAAGCTTAATTAAACACTATTTAAAAGTAGCATTTTTGCATCGTGTTTTGAAGTATTGTTATTTAGATGGTGGGGAGATGGTATCTATGGTTATTAATACCACCAACCAAAACTATTTGGGTACCAATGAGCTAGGGGTCAAGTGTGGTGGAATTGTAAACATTGTCCCTTTAAACTACCACAATCGAGTTGATTGTAATTAAAGTCCCCATTATAACTATATTGTTTACACGTCACTATAATTTCCTTGCACATTTTGCACAACTTCAGTTATGGTTTGTTCGCTTTGAATTGTTGACATTTTTACAGCAAAAGCTCAGTGAAAGATTGGTAAGGTTGGTTGTGTGCAGTTTTGAGATATACCTTGAGGTGCAAAGTCTAGTATTTTAGTTGATTTGGAATTGCAAGGAAGATGTAAAGTGGCTTCAGGAGGATTTGGACATGGTTAGTGAATGGGCAAAGACATGGCAGATGGAATATAATGTGGAAAAATGTTAGGTTGTCTACTTTGGTATGAGAAACAGGTGTGTAGAATATTCATTTAAATGGTAAGCAGTTGGAAAGAGTAGATGTACAAAGAGACCTAGGTGACCTTGTCAATATATTATTGAAGCCTAACATGCAGGTTCAGCAAGCTATTAGGAAGGCAAATGGAATATTGGCCTTTTATTGCAAGAGGACTGGAGAACAAGAATAGTGAAATTTTGCTTCAGTTGTGCAGAAGCTTGGTTACACCACACCTGGAGAACTATGATGCTGTTTTGGTCTCCTTATCTCTGGAAAGATGTTGCCATAA